AGCAGATTTCCATATCTTGGTATATTGATTTTTCATTATTTGACAGTAGTCTCAGATTAGTTTTTGTAATAGGATTATTTAATCTGTTTGTAATATTTATTTTGTATAATTCCAACATTCCTATAAGTTTTGAATGAAAACACGATTTAACGATTTTGAGATCAAAAAGGCTTGTTTTTCAAAAGAATTATCAAGTAAATTAATTATGTATTATTTAAAAAGTATTTGAGTACCATTTTGTCGATAAAAATTTTTAAAGGRAATCTACYTAGTTCAGCCCTACAGGCTATGTTTGACGTTTTATTATTACTCCTAAATAATATTTACAAAAGCGTAAATGCATTTTTTCTGTCTGACATTTGTCCCATTTGTTAAAATCATGATTTTGATAAACTCCCCAAACCTCACTACCTTAGAGTAAGAGTAGGAGATATCATAGAATCAAAAAGTTTATCTGCTTACGTTTTTGCTTAATTTTTCTTAAATCAATAGTCCGGTTAATACTGAAAAGGGCGTTAAGAGCTTTTTCTTTTGATTTTTGTTGGTGAGTAGAAAAATTTCCATTTAGTAACCCCTAGGTATGTGAATTCTTTAACAACTTCAAGGTTATTTCCATTAACTTTGAAAATTTTCTTTCTTGATTTTTTTGTMGATCGTTTTTGGAAAATCAAGACTTTGGATTTTTTCTCATTTATATTCATATCCCATTTATTACAAAAGTTAGACACACAATTAATACTATTTTGAAGAACCTCTTGTGATTTTGATAACAGAACTAGGTCATCAGTATATAAAAGTGACGTTAGTTTTGTTCAATTCGGCAATCAGTTCTAATAGCTTTGTCAAGTAAATTTGATAATTCATTAAGATAAAGATTAAAAAGTAAAGCACTTAAATAAAGATGCAGCCTTGGCGAACTCAACARCTGTATTTAAAACTCTTAGGTGTAGCGCTTTGAAGGTAAGTAGAAGAATCTTGTAATTAATACGTGGTTGACGAACAGCGAGCCAGTGTAGATCTTTTAGTAAAGGAGTAATGTGATCACGACGCCTTTAGAGAGAGTGACAATTCCGCAGGCAGCAGAATTAAGAACACGTTGTAGCTTATCCAGGTGAACACCAGATATACCATATAGAAGAGAGTTACAATTATCAATAATGATTGTCGCAAAACCAAAGAAATGCGGCTCATTCACCAATTGGGCACTTATAATCCCCATGGGTTGAATGAACGCTTTGTTTTCAGATAAGTTTTAATTCTTTTGTTTCCTTTTTAGCACCTTTATTGTTCTTTTGTCTAACACTTCCTTTGCTTTTTTGTTTATTT